ATTCTCTGAGTTTGTTCTTATAGTTTTGTTCTGTTCTTGATTCTTCCATCTGTCGATTTAATTCTGGGAGGTGCTGCCACATATGTCAATCTCTGATTGTTGTCTGTTCTTGTTGGTTCTCAGTCCACAGAACTCCCTTTAGGATGTTTTGTAGTGCAGGGCTGGCTTTAGCAAAATCCCTTGGCTTCTGTTTATCCTGGAATGTTTTGATTACACTGTCATATTTGATTGATAGCTTTTCTGGATAAGGAATTCTTTGTTGGCAGTTTTTTTCTTTCAGGGTTTTATATGTGTCTTCCCATTGCTTCTTGCTTGCATGGTTTCTGCTGAGAAATCTGAGCTTAATCTGAGTTGCTTGCCTATGTATGTAACGCTTCTCTTTTCGTTAGCTGCTTTCAGGATTCTGCCTTTATGTTTGATTTTGGACAGCTTGATTATGATATGTCTTGGTTATTTTCTTTTGTGGTCTATCCTTCCTGAGGTTCGTTGAGCTTCTTGAATGTTTTTATCTTTTCACTTTTCAGGATGTTACAGAAATTTTCTTCCAGAAGTTCTTCAACTGTTTCCTCTGTGAACTTGTGTGATTCTTCCTATTCTGGAATGCTGATAATTCTTAAATTATTCCTCTTCGTGTTGTCCAACGTGAATCTTAGACCGTCTTCAGATTTTTTTCCCCCCTTTTTTTCTGCTTGTTCTTCTATCTTAGCAGTAGTGAGAGATTTGTCTTCCAGTTCACTACTTCTGCTGTCCATCTCTTCTATTCTATTCCTTTTCCCTTTCAGTGTATTGTCTATTTCTGATATTCTATTATTGATTATTTGGACCTCCTTCTGTAGGTTTTGAATTGTTTCCAATGCTGTGTCTATCTTATTTGATTGTTCCTGTAGCGCTTTCTTGGCTTCTTCCTTATTTTTCTCAACTCCATTGTAAAGTGTTTTGAAACATTTTATAATCATTTTTAGGAATTCCTTCTCAGGCATTTCCAAGGCCTGCCCCCCTTCCAGAATGTAGTCCAGGTCTACCTTTAGTTCATTTGTCTCAGTAATTTTATCTTATTTCTGGACTTGTGCTGATATGTTCATCTTCTTTTCCTTTTTGACATGTTTAGTGTTTATCTGTGACCTTAATATTTCATTGTGTGTGTGTTTTGGTATTTTTTATGCTTTTTGATGGCCTCTAGGCAGAGGTTCAGGATGTGGGCTTCCCTTTTCACTCTTTTTATAGCTTAACTCAGAGTAACTTTAATATGTGTTGTCTGCCTCCCTTGTTGTATGGTAGTTGGTATTTGTTCTTGCCTGGAATGTGGGGTTTTATAGGGTGTGATTGTAGCTTGACTATATGACAACAATTGCTGTCTATTTTTGGGTGATATAGGGACAGAAAGAGACCCCAAGGCTAAAACAAACAAAAAATAATACCAATAAACAACAACAAAAAAGCTAGATTGGATACTGTAGTCTATAATTGCATAAAGGGGAGAAGAGGGAGAAAAAAAAAAATCTGTAGCCTAATGTGAGTATGATTTTCATATCCTTTTTCAGCTTCTTGCCTTCAAGGATGCCTGATAAATTTCAAGATGCCACTGTTGGTTGTTATGCTATCAGGATTTAATTTTCAGCCTGTTTTGTTTTTAAACTCCCTCCCTTTTCACACCCCTGGTTTTGTCCTTTTCCCTATTAGCAAACAGTTCAGGGCTGGCTGTAGCTGTTTAGAGATGCTTGTAGCTTTAAATGCTGAGAGTATGTGAGCGCATACATCGCAGAAGAATCCACCAGTGGTATGGTAGAGACGGGCGGTGTCCACTTGCTCAGGCACCTGCTCTAGTCACCAGAATAGAGATACCCAAACAGTGGGGGCGCCAATGAACAGACACCAAAAAAAAAAAAATCAGAACAAAGCAAAAATTATTGTCCACCTCTGCTCCAAGGTTCCCACGGCGTTATTCTGCGTTGGATCTGCTTGCTCCCCTGCTTAGTCTTGCCCAAGTTGTCTGCTCTGGGCCATTGAACCTGGCAGATTCTAAAGTATGAGATTTCTTACTTCCACTGCAAGTTCCACTAGCTATAAGCCTTCAAACTTTAAAATTATTCCTAGATATGTGGTTTAGGGTTTTGGAGCTCTGCCCTGAACCCGTTTCACCTGGTATTCTGTGGTATTGCTGGCGGTACCTGTAGCACTTGCAGCACTAAAAAGTTACTAAGAGTTCCCTAATAGAGAAGAAGGGGTCCTTGCATGAAGAGCTCTGGTGTGGCTTTGTAGGGTAAGCACTGGACTGCAGTGGTAACCACAAGTGGTTCAAACCCACCAGCCTCGGTAACCCTGTATTAAGAGGGTCATTTGGGTTTTCCATTTTCTTCTACAGGGTGCATGAGGCTAGAGTTTATCTTTAGTGAAAATGTGCCAGACTGGTTAGACCTAGGCAGCGGAGCTCTGTGAAAGAACTATTGTGGAAGTTCCCTGCGGTGCCCAACTGTTATATACACAGTGCGCAGGCGTCTTCGAGATGCCTGCGACCTGAGAGAAGGACATCATTGCGCAGGCACCACTGTGGCCTTGTTGATGTCCTAAGTGACTGTGCATGTGCAGCCCATATCAGTGGGGTGGTGCGGTCTCCCCTACTTACTCTGTTAGACATTCAGATTTGGGCAGGTGGAGGGTGCCCTCACGTAGCTGTGAGCTGGAGGGAGACGCTCATGCATTTTGTGCATTCATCTATTTTTTATTAAAAAAATTTGAAACAAGCTTGCAGACAAGCGGTACAAAGAACTATTTTTTGTTGATTTTGTTCCCCCTGCACATTCCAACCTGAAAACTGTAGTGTTTCCTACAATGACCTCATGTTGCAACTCCCAGGCATAGTAACACACTGCCATCAAGTCCATTCTGACGGTTGTGTGTTGCCAAATGGATTCCTTTCTACTCAGTCACCCTACATAGGGTTTCTGAGGAGTTTGAACTGTGAACTTTGTAATTAGTTGTTAAGTGCCATTGAATTAGTTCCAACTGTTAGCAGCAGGCAATGAGGGATAGGGCTTCCAAGGCTTTAAATTTTCATGAGAGCTGAAAGCCTTATCCTTCTCCAATAGAACAACTGTTGGGCCCAAACCGCAGAACTTGTGGTTTTCAGTCCACAACTTACCTGTGGAGCCACTGCGATGAGTACTACAGTGCTTGCTCTACAGTGCCACAAGAGGACTCCTAACGAGTCTATGTATAGTGTTTTGAAGATTAAATCTTTACAGGAGCAGAAAGCTTTAGCTTTTGGAGTGACTGGTGGGTTTGAACACTTGATCTTGTGCTTAACAGTGTAACACCATACACATGGCCACCAGGGCTCCTTATTGGGTACGTTAATGCCATAAGGAGTACATTAATGCCTTAGAAGCTAGGATGGCGAGACATCTCCCATACTTAGGACATGTTACCAGGATGGACCTGCAGAAGGACATCATACCTGGTAAAGTGAGATGGATTGGCACGGTAGCAGCAGCAATGGGCTCAAGTGTAGCAACGATTGTGAGATTGGTGTCTTGTTCTGTTGTGCTTAGGTTCCTTTGAGTTGGAAGTGACTTGACAGCACCTAACAACAGCAGTGACAATCCTCAGATACTGGCTGGGTTTTTCTCGTGTCCCAGTAATGTCCTTTATAAATGTAGAATCACATTTCATTTAGTGTCATGTCTCTACTCTCCTTCAGTCTAGAATTCCTCAGTCCTTCCTTTACTTACGACCTGTCTGTTTCTGAGTGTCAGAGGCTGGTGACTTTGCAGTAGGACTTTGAATCTGGTATTTGACAGGGATGTTACAGATGCTATATTGTGTTTCCTTATGTCTCACTGGACAGTATTGGATTCTCTTAATGAATTTGGTGATAATCACTGTTCACTGGGGCTGATTGCTGGAGAAACCACTTGAGCTTTTCCCCGCACCCCATGTCTGCTTGCTTTTGGTGTGAAGTGCAGTTTTGAGTTGGTTTGACTCATAGTAACACCCTATGCAGGGCTTTTGAGGAGCGGCTGGTTAGTTTGAACAGCCAACCTTGAGGTTCAAACCGACCTTGAGGTTCAGTGCATTATCCTGCAGCGCCACACCAGGACTGCTCGATCACCACTTAATCTCCCAAATTACGGCTGTCATAATGCATGTCATGGTTTTGAGGACTGGACTGTCTGGTTGCATCTGTTGTCGGGCTCCACCTGGTGGCCATTCAGGGCTGTTTCTAGTGTTTACCCATCTAACTCTCTTTTCTGATAGGGAAAAAGTTGGCTTCCATTATCTTTAATATGTTAATAGATTTGATCAGGTCTGTGTGTATGTAACTAGTCTCCCATCTCAACCTCCACCCCCTCCCCAGTAAGACAACCCCCCCCCCCCCACACACACGTACATGGGCTCTGTCACCTGTATTGTCAAGAGTTCCTCCTGCCATGTATATTATCTGTACCCTGTTCAGACTCTGACTCCCATAGCAGGCACTCCTTGTGGAAAGACCCCCCGCAGAGGCTCCGAGTCCTTGTGCTGGACAGCTGCACTCCCTTTTCACTCATCTGGGGCTGTGACACCTGCTGCAGGTCACCACCACATCACTGGTATCCTCATCCTACGCACACACCCACCAAACTCTCTGCCTCTCTTAATTTAGGACTGAATTCCCAAGGCAGTGAAGGGAGTGAGTGTTCCTCTTGCTTGAGTGACAGTTCTGGGGATGGAATAGGTTTTCATTTCAGAATCCCAATGATATATTTGCATTACTGAAAGGTTTGTACATGTGTATTGTATCAGTCTATGGGCATACACACAAAAAGAAACACATAATTTGAATAGTGATTCAGCACTGAGGTAGTAGTAGGTTTTGTAGCTGGTGTGGGGAACAAGACAAGGCAATAGGCTGCTGTAGGAGGGGTGGCTTGCCTATTGAAAGGAGTGACAGGTGGTGGTGGAGGTGGGAGGGATGTGAACTGCACATGGAAAGGTACTGAGCAAGTTGTCCACTATGGCAGATGTCCAGGGTGCTGCAGAAGGATGCCGAGCAGGAGTCGCAGATGAGAGCAGAGATCCAGGACATGAAGCAAGAGCTCTCTACTGTCAACATGATGGACGAGTTTGCTAGATACGCTCGACTGGAAAGAAAGATCAACAAGATGACAGATAAGCTCAAAACACACGGTACTTGGCAGCACTTGCAGTGTTGAAAAGTTCCTTAGAGTTCTCTAATAGAGATGTCGCTGCATGAAGATCTTAGGGTAGATGCTTTGTGCTGTGGGTGTTCTGAATATTGATAAAAACACTTAACTTGTCTAGAAATAAACCTGGAGTCGTAGTGTAGTTCTATAGGATAAGCACTGGACTGCAAGCTTGGCTTGAACTGTAAGGTCAATGGTTCAAACTCACCAGCCGCTCCGCAGAAATCTCTGTACAGGGTCAATATGAGTCGGAACTGACATGATGGTACTTAACAACAACAAAAGAAGGAAACCTAGTAATAATGATATTTACTTATCCATATAAATATCTAGGATCCTCTTAGAGTTCTTTCAAAGTCAGCTTCTTTCAAATTCAACACTGTTCTAAGTGAACTCCTCCTGCCCCCCCTTTTAAAAAAATCTAGTGGATTCTAAGGGACTTTTGATCCACTGTAGGAGACACCCAGCAGTATACTTACAAAATTTGCTTATCAGGGTAGAGATCACCTTTATATTTTCCATTTTGCCAAATGGTCTCCTGTAGCCAGGAGACCCTACTGGTGGCTCCTCAGGGGAGAACTCCACCTTGTCTAGTGACACAGGGGTATTTTCTTTATTTTCCATGACTGATAAAATGATTTAATCTTGTTTTTCTTTTCAGTGAAAACACGGACAGCTCAGTTAGCCAAAATAAAATGGGTTGTAAGTGTTGCTTTCTACATATTGCAAGTAAGTGCATTGTCATGTCACCTGGGGCCTTTAAGATGGTAGTGGACTGTCCCACAGAATACGGGACTGGGATTCAGGCTTCTCCCTTTCCAGCTGCAGTCGTCCTTCCAGCATGTGACTCAACTGTTGTTGTTGTTAGGTGCCATTGAGTTGGTACCGACTCATAGTGACCTTATGCACAGCAGAACAAAACACTGCCCGATCTTAGGCCAACCTCACTATTGTTGCCACACTTGAGTCCATCAATGCTGCCACTTGGCCAATCCATCTTGTTTGGGGTCTTCCTCTTTTTCTCTGACCCTCCACCTTACCAAACATGATATCCTTCTCCAGCTACTGGTTCCTCCTGATAACATATCTGAAGTATGAGAGACGAAGTTTGACCATCCTGGCCTCCAAGGAGCATTCTGGTTGTACTTCTTTCAAAACGGATCTCTTGGTTCTTTTGGCAGCCCATGGCACTTTCAATATTCTC